TGATCATCTCTGTGTTTCCTGTTATTTCATATTCTAATCAGACATTCATCACTTGTCATTCGTTGATATTTTACTTAAAAGATGTTGTCTCTCTCATAGTTAAGGTAATAATTATATCAACACTTTGGATGTAATTGTGTGTGAGTTTATTTCAAATTAACGGATTAATAACACCACCGATGGTGAAATGGATTCGTGATAAACAACAACAACAATAAACAAGTTACCAGATGCATTGGGTTGAGTTTAGATATCCCAATGATATGGTAAATGATAGACGGTAATGATCATGAATTAACTGATTGTTACTTTAATTAAGATGAAAATGAAAACAATGAAAAGCTTGAAATGAATTGTGAAAGTGACTGAAAATTTCTTAAGAAAAGAAATGAAAAATACCGCTAATGTTTATTGCTGAAGAGAAGTAGCAGATTCGCATGATTGAATCAACATTTTGTGGGATAACAAATAATCCTTGCGTGCAAAGAGTAGACTCACAGCTCACTCTTCGCTACTCACGCAAGGTTGACTTGGTATCCCACAAAATGTTGACTCAATCATGCGAATCTACAAAATACACTTTGTTGTAAAGTAGCAAATTAAAGCAACTAAAACAACAACCAGAATTGCGGTATTTCTGTTTTCATTTTTCTCTTTCATCGATTCATAGGAAAATCATTCTCCATAGTTATTCATTCCTTAACTCCCTGTGTGAGAATTCACGATTAATAACTTAATTCTCTCATTTTGACACTTTCTACTTTCTCTTAATTAGCTCTCGATCAGTAATCAAATAGCAAATTACTTTTGTTTGTTTATTTCAATTATTTGCTTTTTGCTCTTTTGCGTGCAAATTGATGATGATTATCTTCATCATCATCATCATCATCATTATTATTATTATTATTAACATTGTTATTAACTTTAGTATAACAATAACCAAGTCAACAAGCTGATATTTGATCTCATCTAATTACCAATCATATTGGTAATTGATTGATTAATTGACCAATTCAATGATTATGATTAATTAGGTTTCGACCTTTTTCCTTAAAATTCACATAAATTGCTAATCATCCGACTCGAAAATGTTCAACTGTACAACATAAGCAGATTAACTCCATGAGATTCAAATGCATGTTTCCCATTTACTAAACTGTAAATAGACGAGAACAAGGATGATGAGGATGACAAATGAAACTAATGCAGAAATCAGGTAAAAGTGAAAATGTCGCTAGAAACAAAAGTTAAGCTGAGTTAATCTTAATTGTTAGAGCATTTGAACGCTTTGGTAACCGTCATCATCACATGAAAACTGAAATTGTTTTTTGTTTACTGTGCAAATGCTCATTTCGCTCAAGGCAATTATAATGTTTCGACCAACCTTTTTTGCTCATCATCATTTCTGCTTTTACTTCAGCCTTACAGAACTTTACTTTCTGTGTCTCCTTGCTACCAGCCGATTCTCTCTCATGGTTTCATGTTGATCCAAAGTTGTTGTTTGTTGTTCATCTCAAGGTTGTCTTTGTTTCTCTGTAGAGAAAATGTTTCCATTTTGTTCAACACGAAAATTTCGCTTCCTTCACACAACTTATATTCTATCAATATCACTCAAACTGGCGATAAGTGATCGCAACTTTATAAAGTGACCTTGTGTACCCATTTGCTCAATCATGATTCCATTTCTTTCTTTTGCTTAATATGTCATCATTAGCTTTAAGCAAAACAGAAAATTTTATCAATGATTAACACGATTAAAGTGAATTACGTTTACTTGATTTAATCTGATGAATTTTGTACATATCGAAATAAAAATGAAAACAAAGCTTCGTTTTCTGGCCATTTATCGATATCTTGTTGATCATTAAAATAACCGTAATAAAGATTATCTACAAATTAAAATGATTCCCATTCGTATCAACAATTACGAGTCAATATGTTTGTTTTACGATGGACAACAATGTCCATTTATTATCATTTGAACACTTCCATGCATATGAATATCTTATTGACATTAACATGTGCCATTAGTTTTGCCTTTTACTCTTGTCGACAATAATCAGCTGATAAAATCTTATCACTTTGAGTTATGAGATAAAAAGCCTTAGGCTATGCCATTGGCTCAACATCTGATAATTCAACTCGTGCAAGTGGTTTATATTCATTTATCAGCTCAAGAAGCATTTATCATGATCAGGATGAAACAGGAACTTGATTAGCTTGCGTTTTAAAAGACCTACTCAGTTACACAACAATAAGAAGATTGATCAAGTTTCCTAATAAAATTGAACAAAGTGTGTTGATGATGATTATTATCTTGAAACCACAATCAACGCAAATATAAATCAAGATCAATTTAAATAAAGAGAAAAATGAATCACATATAAAAAGAATTTTTTCTTTTTCTTTTTCTTTCTTAATCTTTTCTTTCTGATTATGATCACTTGATGATATTAACTTGAATCTCTTCCTTTACTTTGGAACATAAAAAATCAGAAAAGTAACATCAACATGAAAAAGAGGAAATAATATAGTCAAGGATGAATTTTATGTAGTGATATATCTTGATGATGAGAAGGAAAAGATGAGGAAGAGTAAAATAAGAGATGGAGAAAAAAGAAGAAGAAAAGATGATGAGGGGAATGAGAAGTTATCAATTGCAGGGTTATTTCATGTTCCATGAATCTTTGCCTTTTTCTTCTTGCACACAGAAAATCAGTTGGAGATAAATTTAGATAATAAACATAATTTACATAAATTAGAATAAGAAGAAGGAAAAAATAAGAAGGATAATCAAGTGCGATTGCCTTGTCTCTCTCTCTCTCTCTCTCTCATTCTCATCTCTATCTACATGAGAGATATTTTTCCTTCTTCCAATTGAGCTGTTCTTTAGCTTGTTGATGGTCTAATGGTTTGAGATCAATGTGATATAAGGTAAAGTAAGAGAAAAGGTAAGATGAAAATGATGATGATGATGATTACACATCAAGGAGAAAAAAATTAAAGCAGAAAAAGTGGAACAAGATCTCCTTGATGATGATTCTCAAATCAGATAGATGAATTGAAGGAAGGTGAATTGAAGACTAACTAACTAATATAATCCAGGTAAGAGACGTACGAGTAAATTTAGGGTTGAATTATTTGATAACTTTATCTAATATCTTTCATGAGATATTAACATTACAAAGGCAATTGTGAGATGATCACAATCAGTTTCATTTATGCAAATGGCTTTCCCATGATGAACATTAACAACAATCTCAAGTTTCGCAAAACAAATAACCAATCATAGTCTTGGTTTTCTGAATGTTTCATTTTTTTCTTCTTATGAATAAACTCATCAATTGGAAAACATTGAGCTGTGGTTGAATATAAACTCAGGGAAATAAAGAATCAGCTGTATAAATTACTCTGCACTGAAAATGGTTACGATGATAATCAAAACCAGTGAAATTTTATCTTTATCATTTTCTAATATCCGCTTAGACTGTTACAATTTTGATACCTTTTAATGTTTACTCTTAATAAGATCAGCAATCATCATTGTTTCCTTTGATTATCAACATGATGACTTGTTGTTAAAAGAGAGAGAGAGACATTTGAAAACAAACAAAGAGTAATTAGCATCATCAGATATCATCAAAGTAAACTGATCAAGCAAAATGATAGCAAACTTCTGGTTACAAGGACAATTATTTGGCACTTTGGTGCTTTTGCTGAAAAGCTGTAGCCTTACAGGTTGTGAAAAGAAAAGCAAAAGGAAGAGAAAAGGAAAAAGAAAACAAAACAACCTAATCAAGCTGTTGAAACCTCAGATGATTATTCATTTTGCTGCGTAAAAATTTGCATCAATTTTCAGCGACAGATTTCATGGTGGAAGAGAAAAGAAAGAGACTCAGCCAGAAGAGCTGAATAGAAAGCATGAACACTGAAACAGATTGAAATACATCATGATCATGTTCGAACATGATTGATAATAGACTCATTTTCTATTTAACCAACGAATCAACCATATTCTTGATGCATAAACAACAATAATAAATCTGAGCAAAAAAATCATTATGATTACTATGATTGACTAAGGGCGAGCAGAGGAATGGGAACTTTTGACAGGCTTTGCTCAAGTCAAAATGGATTCTTGATGGTTCAAGTTTTGCTTCATGTTCAATAGAAAAGTTAACTGTTACCATGACTTGAGATCATGATGCAGCAGAATCAGAATCAGAATGAATGAATTACTGGTAGAGGGACAATAACAACAACAATACAACATTAATGCCGAATCATGTTGCAAACTTGGGTATTTTTCACCATTACGGCTAAACTGTTATTGTCGTGAATCGCCTTGATTATCACTGAACATTTTACGCTCTTTTCTCACAATTTCAATCCTTTTCTCAATTAATCACTTTTCTTGATTACTTTTTCTTTTCTTCCTTAGTTAACAATTTTCCACTTCTTCTTTTCCATCAGGTGAATTTGAGAGCGAAGATGCCGAATGAACAAGAAAGTGAGACGATGATGATAAAAGTAGATTATTAATAAAATCACTTCTCTGAATGTTTCGTTGAATCTACTGATGATGTAGATGATAATCATCATGATGATGATAAAATTGGATCTAAACCTGATTTACTTTGCAGATCATTCAAGCTACAACTATTTAGGTAAATGTATTAAGGTTGACAGTTTATCCAGGTAAAATTAAAGCGAGAAAAAGAGAGAAAGCAAATTAAATGAATGAAAAAAAAGGAAGGGTTATTGGCCGAAGTTAATTTAATTCGAAGAAAAAAAAGAAGAAAGAAAAAGATTAAGATTTTAAGAGAATTGGAACAGAATTTGTTATCAAATTGACTAATAATGTTCAGTTACTTTGATCGCGACTTGTTACATGGAGGAAGATAATTGAATCCATAAATTAACATAGAATTCGATTGGAAAGAGTTAATCATTTCATTTAATGGCCGAATCAAAGAAATTGAGATTAAGAGACGAAAATATTATTATTGTAAATTAAATTACGTTAATGGAGTTTATTTATATTTATATATAAGTTTCTGTTGTTTGTTTGTGGTTTTTTCATATTAAGCGTAATAGTGGAGATTGAGGCAATCAGGTTGCCACAGGTAAGAGAGGAGAGAGAGAGAGAGAGAGAAGGAACAATGATAAAAGACAGAGACAATATAGAACAATGTGTAAAGAGGGAGATGAAGAAAAAGAATAGATCTCAACAAAGGTTTTGTGTGATGAGGTTCATCGTAAACAGAAAATGATGAGATAATAATTATAAGATGAAGGGAATGGTCAAGTGTGTGGTTTGTGTTTATCAGGAGACAGATTAATTTCTCTGATGAGGATAAGGATTAAAAGATTCATTAGGAAAAATCTTTTTGATTCCGATTTCATTTTGTTTTTGTGCTTTTGCTTCGAATTAGCGAGAGATCGTCTTTGAGGGATGTTCAGTTGTATTAGAAAGAGAAAATGAAAGTAAGAGAGAGAGAGAGAGAGAGAGCACGGCCCTGAGAGAGAAAGATAAAGATAAAAGTCAAAAAGGTGATGATGATGAGGAAGAGAAAAAGATGTTCTATTAGAAGAAATCAAGATGATTAACTTATCTTCTAATAAGATGAACTATGTTGACAATTTTATCGATATTTTGACTATTAACTAATCAGTTAATTGTAGGAAATGTCGAGGGTAATCGATTTGAACAAGTTAATTACAAGAGTTAATTAAAATGAAATTGTCTGAACAAAGATGAAAACATAATTCATCTTCTCATGAAGCATCTTTTTCTTATGTGATTAAAATGAAAGAAATAAATTAATCAACTCACCTCATTGATTAGGTATTTAAATTCATCAGTTTGTGTATACCATTTATACCATTTATTTAAAAGTTAATAATATTAATTAATTAATTAATTATAATAATAGTTGATCAGTGAGCCGTTAAACTTTGTCCATGGGTCATATTGGCTCCGTTCCCATGGCCTGGTGGTGAGTGGAGTGGACTGTGTGAATGGGGGTGATGGAGAGGAGGAGAATCATGAAGTCCATGTCCATCATGAGGAGACATCATCATGTCTTGACCTAGTTGACCTGTGGGTGGGGTCATTCGCTTCTCTTTCTGTCGTCTATTACAAAACCAAACTCGGACAACTTCCTTTTCTAGTTGGAGATTTTCAGCCAAACTCGAAATTTCTTGAGCTGAAGGTTTGGGTTGCTTATGGAAATGATTCTCGAGGGCACCTTTGACCGACACCTCAATGGAAGTTCGTTTCTTCCGTTTCCTTCCTTGAGCGGCGATCTTATCAATCGACGTTGGTGACCCTGTAGTCGAATCAGCCTCTTCCAACCATTTAGCTAACAGAGGCTTTAATTTGCACATATTTTTAAAACTTAACTGTAACGCTTCAAATCGACATATTGTTGTTTGACTAAAAACATTCCCATATAAAGTCCCAAGGGCAAGGCCAACATCGGCCTGAGTGAAACCGAGTTTAATACGTCGCTGTTTGAACTGTTTTGCAAACTGTTCAAGATCATCAGAACTTGGTGTTTCCTCTTCCCCAGAACCATCACCACCACATCCTCCCCCACCCAGTCCTCCGCCTCCTGATGATCCGAGGGATCCAATGGATCCAGGATGATGACGAAGATGTGGATGATCGGAAATGTGATGATGATGATGTAGGCCACCAAGGGTCGGTCGATCAATCGGTCCCGATAAATCAGATAAGCTGGACAATGAATGGTCTCCCCTCATGGCTGGATGGAGTACCTGGTGAGGAGATGGACCCGTTTGTGGGCCATTTCCCACCCCATGGACAAACATGCCGTTCATAGAGTAATGATGCTGTGGATGATGATGAGAAGGAACATGTGAATGATGATGACTCAAAGGTGAGGAACCATTTGAATGAGGTGTATGATGGCCTGAGGCGGCAGCCACAGCCATTCCATGAGCTGCAATCGATGCTGCAGTTGAAGGTGAAGCGTGAAGAGGTGAAGTATGATGCCAAGGAGATGCGTTCATATGCTGAGCTGCGGCTGCAGAAGCCACAGCCCTGTGATGTGCATGCAAAGCATTTAAATGAAGCTCACTAGATATCGATGAATTTTGACCTGAACCATTGTTATTTGTCGATGAATTATTACCATTGCTATTGTTGTTACTCGAAGCACTTCCGGATGAACTGTTACTTCCAACGTTTCCAGCTCCAACAGAGCCACGTCCATTTGAATTACTTGACACTGGAGTTGAACTACCACCCCCAGAACTGTTATTACTTTCACTATTGTTGCCACCAATGTTGACATTGGCACCATTGGGCTTAATATCTGATGAAGATGAGGAAGAAGATGATGAAGATGTTGATGACACTGCCGATACAGCGGCTACAGAAGCCTGATGATGAGCTGCCGCTAACGATGAATGCATTCCAGTCCATGGCTCAGCTGCATGATGAGGAGGTGCAAGTCCCATGGTTGCCCACTGGTGAGAATGAGCACTTAAAGGTGCATGACCATTAGGACCTTGGTGTTGGTGGACAGCGGCCATGTACTTAAGTTCAGCTGGCCCATCACGACCATAAGATTGACTTACAGGCACTTGCATATGATCATGATGATGATGATGAATTTGATGAAGGGTTGGGTTCAAATAAGGAGAAAAGGTTCCACTGGACATGATGGATTCGTTTGATTTGGAATGAGATGAACAATATGATCGAAGTAGATTAGATCTTTACACCAATGGATCACAAATATATTCCGTTTTCCAATGGAAAGTATGGGAACAAAAGATTGAACGAAATGAATCGTTGATTGATTAACATTTGATCACAATAATCTTATTAGTTGAATCACAACACAATTAATAATTAGAAGAACGAGTAATGATGAAGATGATTTTTCTGGTGTTGGTATTGGTGTTAATCTTGATGTTTTGGTGTTGATGATGAAGATGAGGATGAAGATGGTGATGGAGATGAAGACATTTGTTTCATGAAAATCTCACAGAATCAGATAGACTATTCATACTCATTCTCGTTTTTTCTTTGCTTCTTCTTCTTATTCTTCTGTTGATCTTTTTTCAGTCAACATTATCAACTAACCATTTCCATCCAACACACAAATTCACCTTCTCTCTCCCTTTTCTCTCTCTCTCTCTCTCTCTCTCTCTCTCTCTCTCTCTCTCTCTCTCTCTCTCATTCATTTACTCCTTCCTCTTCTTCAATGTTTCCTCATTTTCATTGGATTTCCCTCTAATCCTTGACTCTGCCTCCAAACCTTGTGGAAGTTGCGACGGGAGGAGTTTAACAGCTCAACCTCAATATCGATGTATAAGAGTTTCCAATATGATCAACTCCTCCTTCTTTTCTCTTTCTCATAATATTATTATTTTCCATTCATGTTCCACAGAAATGCTCAGATAAACAGGCTACAGATGATAGAATAACACAGAAGGAGGAACAGAAAAGATAATGAGAATAAGACGAAAATGAATAAACGAGAGAACAGAAAAAACAGAAAAACAGAAAAAAGCGAAAAACAAGAAAGAAAAAAAGAAAGTCATCTACCTCTGGAAAAGAATCAAATAGATTAGATTCTCAACCAAAATTCTGTTTCGACTTAAAAATCCAGAGTAACATTCAAATTTCGCCATCATGAAGACTTACTCTTCACTTCACTTCTTTTCCTCATCTCTCATAGCCAACAACAAAACAGAAAACAGAAAAAAGAATTGACTTTATCAATGAAAAAATAAAATTTTCATTTTTAATCGAATTGATAAAAAAGGAAAATATTTCAATTGTTTCCAATCAAATAAAACGAAAGATTATCGACAAATTAAAGTCCCTACACTGCCATCTGTTGATTCGGTTTGTTACTCAATAAAATAAAAGAGGGAAAAGTTTATTGTTTGTGAGCTGAACTCCAGTTACTGGAGGGTTAATGCAGCAGCTCCTCCATTGGGAGAAAATTACTCCTGACAACTTAAAGAGGGAAAATTGAATTAGGGTTCACATTTATAACAGATTTTTAAGGTATTAATAATTGCCGATTACAAGTAACATTTTAATCTTCAAATGTTAATAATTAGAAGAGGATAAAGAGTAAAATTCACGAATCAGATTAATTGAGTCATGATCAATTTAATTCAAAGGCCCAATTTTTATGATTATACCGAAGGTTGAAGCGAAATTGTAGGAAAGGTCTAAAAATAGTTAAATCCATTAGGTTTGACATAAAGGAAAAAATTAATATTAGAATTTCGATCTTGTAAATTGTGGTAATTTTAAATCAATTTTTTTAATAATTGTATTTAAATTGTATTTGCAGTAAAACTTTGAGATAACGGAAAAAAAGTTTTATCAAATTACCAGAAAAACTTTTCAAGGAACTAAAGTGGTCCAAGTTATTACGAAGTAAGTTTTAAGATCATCAAATTCGTGTAAAGTATAATCTGTGTGATAAGACGACGAATAACACAAGATTTAATTTTTAATTTACAGGTAAAGTTAATTAAAATTTATCAGGAGCAATAAAAGTTTGACCGAAAAGAAAAACGAAGAGAACTAAAGTGGTGACATCTATTGATTCACCAATCGCTTTGTTCAAATTCTCGGCTCAGTCCTGAGCCACCAGCGCTCGATAGAAGAGCGGCTGAGATGAGGTTCTGTTCCAACAGATGCCAACAGATGTCATTCCAATGACTTTTGGAAAAACTCAGGTTTTCGACTGGAACCACTAGATGGCCCTAGGGGATCAACTCTCACCGAGACTCTCTCGTTGCCTTGGTAATCGTTTATGTGATAATCTGGAGGCAAATTTAAATTCATCTTGTTTATTTGGAAAATTAAACTGTCGGAATAACTCGGCATCCAATCAAATATCTAAAACGCTTGATTTTCACTGCGATCAATCTTAACTAATGCTCGAAGTCGGAATCATTTGGATTCATGTTATTGAGAATTAATTCTATCAAAATGTTATAAGAATGAGAAAATAAAGAAGAGAATCCATTTAGTTGTTTCATTGTTCATTTAATGATGAGAATCACGCGAATTGTTGTTGATCGTAATTTTGAATATTTTGTTTTCATCGAATATTCGAAAGCTTAAAAATTATCATTTAAGACTTAATGTGCTTCTGAGTAGCTGTTGTAATGAGACAAAGTTGCTAATTAACACGAAGGTAGTTTTCTCAATTAATCAAATGAAGGTTACAACTTATTCATTTCTTTTCAAGATTTAATCAAAATCTACTGGTATATTTGATAATTAGAGAATATTTGTTAATTATCACCGTTTTAATCGAAGTAACAAAATGAATTCTAAATCTTTATTTCATTAAATTGGTTGGATTGAATTTCTATTGAAATATATTCTCAACAAACTAGAAAATGGATCTGAGTTCTGATGCATGGGTCTCAATTCATTCATAGGAAATTCGCATGTAAAAAAAAACTATGTCACTCAAACTCTTTTGATCTGAATCGAAATGAAAGACTAAAAGAATTTACCTGAACATATTGATTAATTGTAGAGCTTTTAAATAGCTTGAAGCAACAAAATTCACCTTTTCTATTGGATTTATCACCTTTACTCACCTTCGATTATCTGCCAACAACTTTAGTGAAAATTAGCTAATTCACATCACTCAGAACTCTCACTATGGGTTCGAATGTTGAGATATTGCTCATCTTTTACTCTGTGGTAGGAAAATAGAAATTAACCTGGAGGTGTAAAAGAATCATTAGTTTTCCAGTTGAAGAACATGAAAAGTTATCTCATGGGAGAGAAAAAGATGATTAATTATTAGAATTATCAAATGAAGAGGATTATGATAAAATTTCTGTTCTTATGGATTAAAAGTTTTCTATAATTATTATTACCTTTGGGTTCCAAAAGATATAAATTTATGAAAAATTATCTCCCATCAGAAAGAAACTGAATCCATTTACTATTTATGTCACTTTTAAATGTCAAGTTTTCCACCCAAAATCATTTATCAACAATAGACTGATAGAAGTGCTAATCGCAATTTAAGTTATCAAAATTGCTCAATTTGATTCACTAATTGATACCGAAACACGATCAGTAGAAATGAATGAATTTGAAAAGTTCTGTCATGTAATCGATATGCTCAAACTATTGGTGATTAATATCGTTTCATTAGCAAGTTAACTTAATTGATAAGTGACTTGACTCTTCAGACTAATTAGTATTAGGAAATTTAGGATTAAATTATGCGTGGAATTGATTTGATTTGTTTATGATAAGTTCAACAACCAATCAATTAATTAATTGATAACAATTGAATTTACCATTGATAAACAATTTGTATGATACCTTTTGAATAGTTATCACGAATCAAATGAATAGAAACAAGTTACACCTATAACTAAATCAACTAAATTGAAAACAATTGAAATTGATGTTGAAAACTAAAAGGTAGCTCATTATGGTTATCATGAGATATGAATTTAAAGATGATAATATATCTGATATCATGATTATCGTGGTTAATTTTTCATCTTCAATTACATATTAAAATGAAACGTTAAAAGTTATTAACGTTGTTGAAATAATAAGGAAAAAATCATCTGCTTAAGTAGTTAGTTAATTGTTATGATTAAAGAGGAATACGCGAAAGATGAAGATGAAAATGAAGATAATGATGATGTTGATTAAATGTTTGTAGAGAAAAAGAAAAGCAAATTTGTTGGGTTGTCTTGATTAACATCAGTTGACGTTAATTACCACATCAATTTAATTTCTTATTGATAAATGTGCTTTTCTGTTGATGATAATGATGATAATCGTTATAATCATCATGATAATCGCAATCATTTGATTGTCTTACGTTTGTATTGTGATTACTCTCAATGATATTCCCGATAACGTTTAGTGATTTTAATCTCATAAGGATTGGGAATAATTATCAAGAATTAATTGTAATAACCTTTTTGTTTTCTTGTTTGCTTGTTATTATACTAATTGTTATTGTTTGTTTGTATCTCTAATTTCAGTCTGCCCATGTTATTATTGTTATTAATATAAATCATTCGCATCATCAGCAATTATCATCGTCATCACCAACCAGCAACACCAACATCAAGTATCAATGAATGAAAAAGGAGATGATATTTGTTGAAAGGATCTTTTAATTAGAGTACAAGAGGAAACAATGACAAATGATTTTGTTATTCATGAAGTTGAAATGATTAACTCGTGATTCTTATATTTTCATGTCCATTTTGTTTGTTTACTTTAATTGGTGTTCCTTTTGCTTCTCATCTTACTTTGGATCACCCAAAGCACCCTCATCGCCCCATAATCGTCATGACCCTCTTGGTGGGTCCACCTTTAGCTCTCCTTCTCCCTTCTCCCTTTGCCCTCATTTGTGTTCGTCTGTTATCCAAACTTGACTCACAATGATAATCCCTTGAGGCGATTGGCTCAGTACATACGATCTACCTTAATGGATGTACTGACCATTTAAACGAAATACAATAGACCAGTAAATCTGATTCAATTTGATTCAATTTGATTCATTAAATTGATCTACTAGATTGCGAAAAATTTTGAATCGGTCTTCGTGAATATGTTTATACATTTCAATCAAAAATTTGTCCATTTAAATCTTTGCATGTTCGGTATCGGATTCTACTCTTGAAGGCAAAGGCGAAATCTCGATGCACAAAAAATTAAAGTCCAATGAAAAAAGAATTCGATAATGGTCACTTCAGTTTGACGTGACCAGTTGAACACAAATAGAAGACGTTCGAACGAAATGAGAAGACTAAGTCGAGGGTAGAAATTGTTTATTTTATTGGCCTGTAGAACGACAAGACTAATCACAAAAATAAGAAAACTACTCGACACAATACGAATACTTACCAATTGTTATTTTTGATTAAAATTCAGATCTTCAATCAATCGAAATTTTTTCAGGATAAGAAAATAATTGATTTAGAAAATTACTAAATCATTCAGATGAATTCAGAAAAAACTAAGATTTTTCTAAAAATAGTGAAGCATTTAGTACAGTAATCTTGTGATTGTGGTCAGCAGTTTCATTATTTTGTTGGACCGTCTTCTCATTTTGAAGAAAAATTAATAAATTTATTTTCTCTCCTCTTAATCTTCTCATTTCTGTTGAATGTATTCTTATTGTATTCCACCGACCTTGTATCTTAAACTGGAATCACTGTAAGATCGTCATGAACATTTACCAATTCACTTTAAATGCTACTACCTCGCAGTCGGAAATTCTGAGGCTGAATGTTAACTTAATTAGAAAAAAACAAGGGCAATTAATGAAATTTTTGTCATTTTTCTTTAATCGTAGCTGAAAACTTCTAAAATTTGAATGAAAGATTTTCAAGACTTAATGGCCGAAAAACGGAATCTTAGTCTCGATTCTCAAAGATTACTGTAATATCGTAATTTTCAAGCCGATTTTCTCTGCTCTGAGCCTGAAAATTGACTCGAAATAATTACAATAAATGTTCACAGTCTCTTCGATAATAATAATAAGCTTTTAAACATTGATCTTTCTTTCTTAAGATAATTGAGATTCAAATAGACGATTAATTGTAGATGATTATTGGCTGGTGACAATTGTTATCATGGAGCTTAATCACTTAGTAAATTAAAAGTTTAACCACTAATTGCGAACGCATCGAAAAGTCTCTAATAAAAACTGAAACGGCAACAGGAAAGTAAATGTTTGAATAAAGTTTCATTTAACAAGTTAATATAACGCTTAAAGTGTCAGAGTTAATTCCTGTGTAAGAATAGATGATTGACCGATTGGAATTGTGACTGATTGTGAAGGTAAATATGATCAATGAGATATAATTAGAGACCAGTTTCCCGATTACTATCAAGGTAACAACTAAACGAAGCAAAGATCAAGTAGCATCATATCAAAGCAAAGAAATAGAATCATGAAAATATTTCGAATGAGAAATGATACATTACTCTATAGATTTGAGGTGTTGAGGATGATAACAATGATTAGTGGCCTAAGGTACGATCAGAAGGCAACTAAGGCCATAAATAAGGACCTTTTGGTCTGAATACGAAAAAGAGCAAGACAAGGACAGAATATGATTGATGAGGATTCAATTTGTGGTTACCCATAGTTGTGTTTATATCCAGAAGGGTATTCACTCTTCCCCAATTCATTTTGTTTGTCAATAGAAACAAAGATCAGGTTTAAGATGTGGATGAAGATGATGAAAAAATTGACTACATGAGAACATTCAATTAGATTCTCATTAGAATGCAATTCTCAAGATAATTTGGCAAATTGATGGATCGATGAAGAAAACGTGCAAAAAACTTTATCTTTTTAAAACTGAAAAGTTTTTCTTTACTTTTTATCTGATTAAACGATCGATCAACAGATGGCAGTGTAGTGACTTTAATTTGTCGATAATCTTTCGTTTTATTTGATTGGAAACAATTGAAATGTTTTCATTTTTTTGTCAATTCGATTAAAAGAAGAAAATTTTATTTTTTCATTGATAAAGTCAATTCTTTTTTCTGTTTTCTGTTTTGTTGCTGGTTATGAGAGATGAGGAAAAGAAGTGAAGTGAAGAGTAAGTCTTCATGATGGAGAAATTTGAATGTTACTCTGGATTTTTAAGTCGAAACAGAATTTTGGTTGAGAATCTAATCTATTTGATTCTTTTCCAGAGGTAGATGACTTTCTTTTTTTTCGCTTTTTTCTGTTTTTCTGTTTTTCTGTTTTTCTGTTTTTCTGTTTTTTCTGTTCTCTCGTTTATTCATTTTCGTCTTATTCTCATTATCTTTTCTGTTCCTCCTTCTGTGTTATTCTATCATCTGTAGCCTGTTTATCTGAGCATTTCTGTGGAACATGAATGGAAAATAATAATATTATGAGAAAGAGAAAAGAAGGAGGAGTTGATCATATTGGAAACTCTTATACATCGATATTGAGGTTGAGCTGTTAAACTCCTCCCGTCGCAACTTCCACAAGGTTTGGAGGCAGAGTCAAGGATTAGAGGGAAATCCAATGAAAATGAGGAAACATTGAAGAAGAGGAAGGAGTAAATGAATGAAAGAGAGAAAGAGAGAGAGAGAGAGAGAGAGAGAAAAGGGAGAGAGAAGGTGAATTTGTGTGTTGGATGGAAATGGTTAGTTGATAATGTTGACTGAAAAAAGATCAACAGAAGAATAAGAAGAAGAAGCAAAGAAAAAACGAGAATGAGTATGAATAGTCTATCTGATTCTGTGAGATTTTCATGAAACAAATGTCTTCATCTCCATCACCATCTTCATCCTCATCTTCATCATCAACACCAAAACATCAAGATTAACACCAATACCAACACCAGAAAAATCATCTTCAACATTACTCGTTCTTCTAATTATTAATTGTGTTGTGATTCAACTAATAAGATTATTGTGATCAAATGTTAATCAATCAACGATTCATTTCGTTCAATTCAACTCCTTCCTCTGTAATCATCATCTCGAAATTTAATGTCCCATAATTACTCAACTGGAATCGGAATTTATGTGATTAATTGTGTTAATAGTTTTAGTTCAATCAACATCACATCTTCACTTGAGAGATAAAGTTCATTATCTGCTAATTATAAATTCCATCAACACCCAAAATCCTAAAACACCAAAGATGAATCACTTAGGAACCATGTATGCCACTAAAAGGAGAAGACGAAATAGTAAAAGGTAAAATCTTCCTAAGTTCAATTTCACAATCAATTGATTATTGATTCAAGAAGGAGATTAAGTCATCATCAGTTTTAATCCCTGGTGCTTAATTAGATCATTTAAATAGTGATAATCAAAGCTTAAAGTCAATATCAAGATGATTACTCTCAATTACCATCAATTAGATTAATATTTTCCAATCAGCTGAATAGATAAATCAATCATCTGATAAGTCAAAATGCATATTTGTTGAGATTTAATCCTCAAAGAGTATTAGAAATTAGTTAATATTCAATATTTAAGATGCTAAAATATAATTATCTTTCTGGATAAATTAAAAGTCAATGGAATTGATGAAAAATAAGATTTAGTGTTATGAAATATAATGAAGATAAACAGTCGGAATTGAATAATTTGTTTGAATTCAATTTATCGTGTAATCGGAATGATTCTTGTTTTATGGTTAAACAAAATGAGTTGATTCAATTACCATGATGCAGGTGAAGTACAAAAGATTCAGTTAAGTGAAAACGATACGATTATTTGATGAGCTGCATTGGTTTTGCTCTTTTCAAGTTCATAATAAAAGGCCAATCACATGGAAGAGAAAACTTCAATGGGATAACAAAAAGAAACTTTTGTTAGCATCTTCATCACAATAGAGAGAATAGGATGAGAGAGAGATGAGGATTTTCAAAGTTCATCTTATTTATAGGAATATTTTGATTCATCATCGAACTATATAAGCGATTATCAAGCAATTTCATTCGTTTCTTTGTTTATCTTATTACAGGTTTTGTTTACTTTAATCATATTAGAGAGTATGAGATATGAAATAAGCAATTTTCTTGGTTAATCAGACAAAATGATCGGATTAAATGTTATCTTTTATCAATATTTATCTAATTTTGTTTATTTCTCTTACATTTTATCCTTCGAATGAAATGTCCAGTGTCCGTGTTCAGCCGAAAGAAGGTCAAACCAAGTCAAACCCATCTAAACGACATCGTGAACGACTCAATGCTGAGCTTGATATGTTAGCAAGTCTCTTACCTTATGAACAAAGTGTTCTTAGTAAATTAGATAAACTCTCAATATTAAGACTCAGTGTTTCCTATTTGAGAACGAAAAGTTATTTTCAAGGTAAGTTGGTAAATTATTTCACATAGAAAATGATCAAGGGAGAAAAAGTTAATCTTAAACCAAGAAGATGAATTTCAATGAACTTTATCATGTATTTGGATAGAAAATACGATTAAAACTTATTAATAAATAGTTCGAAGTCGTGAGTCAGAACGATGCAAATCGCAAACGACAAAAATGTTGCAACTTTGATAACTTGATATAAATATTTTCATATTGAGTGAGATGAATAGTTGAGATGCTAAGTTTTTCATCATCGCGTGTTCATTAATTGTAAATTGATATTCAATCAGAATCAAGTAGACAGGTAGATACACAAATAGTCAACAATAGAGATGCAACAATGTTTACAAGTTTAGTAACATAAAAATACAATCAAATTTGCGTGAAAAGATTAACAATTATTTTGATTAGTTACATTGAGAAATAATGAAACTATTCCCTTGCATTTTCACCAATCGATAAAACAAATCAATTTAATCAATGGAAATGAAATTGATATCGATCTCTACAATTGCAGCAATTTTCAACAAGGAGCGTGAAAAACAAGGCAATTTACACGAAATTCATCGAAATACGCCGAGAGAACTTCTTTATCCTGAAATTCTGATGGAAGGCGATCTCATTCTCCAGGTAAGAGTCTAGTTTTGTCACTTGATAAATTAAACTCTAACAAGAGCCAATGTTGAGTGAATAACAATTGAAGTCTCAGCAACAAACACATCGCAAGATCTTGTTGATTGCTGAAAATTTGCTTATCAGTAAATTGATAAACTTTTACTTGCATTTGAAAAATTGCAAAGTTTTCTCTACTTTCGCTAGTCTTCATCCTCTTCCCTTTGTTAATTAATTGACTTAAGTAATTAGAAGACAATATCTTGACAGAATATCTTGAGACCTGCAAGGAAGTTGAATGTAAAGAGACAGAAATTAATGTGACTTTCTTCAAACAACTTGAAACATTGAGATAAAAAGGTTATTATTATTTGAGGTGAACAAAGTTTCCTGTTCTGAAACGATTATCTCTCATCATGTTACCTAAGTGAAAAATTACAACGACATTCAATTACCGTCAACAGATGAAAAGAAGAAAAAAAAAATGACAACAATTAAGTGACATAATTGAATTTTCTGAAATAAACATTGGAAAATTACAAATTCTATTTCCTAATGATAATTACAGGTAATTTGGTGGGTGGTCCTCATGAAAACATCTTTCATCCACATCATCAAATTATTCAATCACCGGTTGACTGGATATCGACAATTTTGTCAACAATCCTTTTCCATCTCAATTGATGATAATCATGATTGAATTGATGAAATGTAATTTAATCAAATTGTCCAAGTGAAATCACGTTTCCAGACATTTACTCAATCAAATTGAATCTTTTCAGAGCAAAGTCAAAGTGTATAAGTGAAAAATATACTCACAATTTTGTATTAGTAAATTGATTGAATGCAAACTGAAAGCAAAAGATGTTATTAGTAAGAAAATTACATAGAAAAAAGTGAATTTTTCATACCAATTAGTTATAACGTTAAAATTATACCCCGAGGCTAAATTATCATCAACATGTATTGAAAATGTTGTTAAAAGTGACACAAACTGTATCTTGTCAATGAAATAAATTCAATGATTTTGCTAATATTGGCTAACCTTTCATTGGATTATTAACAAGAGACTTTTTCTTGACCGTGAGAAGGTCAATTCCTGTTGTTATTTTGTTTACATGATTGAATGATGACGATGATGATAATTCTGAAAATGATGATTAGAATGATAGAATTTTAATCTTATTCTGTTTTCTTTCTTTGTGATAGGCTCTCAATGGATTTCTACTCATACTCACCTGTGATGGAGAGGTTTTTTATACTTCTCATACCGTCGAAACGTATCTTGGATTTCATCAGGTAAGCAGAAAATCATTTCCAAATTGCAATTAAATTTCTTATCAATTACCTTCTTCATCTTAATCATCCTCTTAATCACCAATTTAACATTTGCAAGTTGAAACTTTGTAATCAATTTTACAAAACCCATTAAGATACATTATGAGATGACGATGTTCATGTGTCAATGTTATCCGTAATTAAATTATCAATTTAATCAATTTACAACAAATTAATATTTTCATTAATTGTAACTTTAATTTTAATGGTGATAAGTTGAGTGTCTACCAATCAAAAAATCATTTCGTGCTATTCAAATATAACCAATTGAATGTTGCGGTTTATTAGTTAAAAATTGAGTGTGAAAATATCAAAAACAAATTCAATTATTAAGACACGTAAATGATTATTTTGAAATTAATCATGAAAATTTGTTAACTTTAATTGTTGATTAATTAAAAGTTACAACAAGAAACATTGTTATCAGATAATTGCTATTAGTTAATCCTTTCAACTGAAGATAATCTTGGAAACAATTATTTTGTCATTGGTTAAATTACCTTGACGAGATACACATAATCCTCGTTACCTTGAAAATGTCATGTAAGTTAATGAATTAATGATTCAGTTGATGGTGAAATTGTCACTTTCATTGTCTGAATTACCCTTTGGGATGAACAAGCAAGAAAACGAGTTTAATAGTTGTAGTAAGAATACAAATTATCTGTTTAATGGTTTTAGTAAAGATTAAGATGGTAATCATTGAGAAGATGAAGACACTACAAAGGAAGTCACTGTTAATGAATTAAGGAGATCACTTGATGATCATATTTAGTCAACTAATTAAAAAACTAATCACATAAATGATGATGATTATTAGTAGAAAACATTATTGAAAAGCAAAAACCATTTGAAGCTCAATTTGTTGACCATTTATCTGGATAATCATTGAGACCGTGAGAAAAGGCTCCATTTTAATGAGAGGTGACCAACGTAACTCCCTTTCTCCCTCCTTCTCCTCCTCCCTCTTCTCATTACCGACTAACAGTAGTAACAATAATGAGCTCACTCGCTGCTCCCCTTTACCTGTCATAAATCGTCAACATCATAAATCAAATTGACTATAAGGTCCATAATCACGTGACAAAAAGGTAACTTTAATAGTCTGTCTCTTGACCAATGCTAACAAGGAAAAGGACAAGTTCCAATTGAATAATATGGTTCATGTTGTTACTTTTTTTTGTTTTCATTAGCAAATAAAAGAAACATTGACACGCGTCTAATCAAATTATTGGCAAATCGATCCAATAAATGATAGGGAATAATATCAACAAGCATCGAGATAATTATCATGATAACTGATCACATTGATTGACTTTACCTGTCATTTGGTGGAAGTAATTTTAATTTGATTTGTAGTCTTGTCTTACAACAACAATTAAGTTAATTACAACATTTTCTCTCAATTTGGTCTTTACTAATGATCGATAAAATTGGTTGACAATGTTTTCAAATGTATCGACACGATGCTAACAGTTGAAGGAAGAGCAGGAAAAGTTAATTAATTTAACTATAAAATTGAATTATTCTAATTACTGTTATTCTTTGTCATAGAAATGAATTTTCATTCAATAATAGACAATAAATAATCGGTCAACCATCAAATAATTAGTTAATTGTGATTTAAACGTGAATAAAACTGAAACAGTTTCAATTTACTCATATGATTATCACCATATTGCATGATAATGTTATTAATCATTTTTCTTGTTATCACAACAAAACTAAATTGTTCAAACTTGTTATAATTAATGATAACCATTTTAAATTAACTTTATTTTCAGTAATTTCGTCAATCTCAATCCGTTATCAAATCACTTAATTCAAATTGAATCACCTAATAATCATTAGTGAATATCAGCAATTCCTAAAAATGATTAAATCGTATCAGATTATTTAATGGGTTTGTCTTAATAACCACAATCAAGGAAGGTTATTATTTGATTGTTTTCATGAATATCGATTTGATCAACAGTAATTACAAATGTTGATTAGAAATAAGTTCCCGCCAAAACACGAGACACAAAAATTGAATCAATTTCAATCAACTTGATCATTTAAATCATTTCAACAGTTTCTAAGCAATTCAAGTAAAATGATTCTCATTCTCTCACCTCATCTAATCAGTTTTCATCATCATAATCATAATCATCTTAATCATTACCAACAGAAGCTCCTTCAGTAGTTTGTATAATATAATTTCAATTAGATTGTGAAAGAAGCCTTGAGGTAAGAATAAATTTTCTTATTAAGATATTCATTGATTAGAGAAAAGAATAAAAGAAGAGGTTGGGCTGAGAGGCTTGATGATCAACTGCCTGCACAGAATAGCCCGAGGGCAGAACCATAGGTACAATCAAATTCAACTTGAGATCTTGATGTTGGAAACTAAAACTTGAACCAAGTTCATTTTCACTTTCGCTTCGTAAGTCAAAATTAAACATCGATACTTTGAACCTTCGTTTCAATTGGAACTAAAACTTGACCCAGAATTTGGTGTTTCGTTAATGACCAAAAGTTGACATGTGACTTTATGAATGAGATGGAAAAGAAGAAAAATTTACTATTGATAGCAAATGACCAGAAAATCGATGTAAACAAATGAATGAAAAACAATATAATTTGTAATGAGATGAAATGAATTAGATGTTAAAGGAAAAGATAATCATGATAATATTGGAATCAAATGAACATTGAAACTCGTTTGTTTGTTTGTTTGGTCGTTTGTTTGTTATCAAAATGCCGAATCATATTCATCATAACATCGTTATTTTAAGTCGGCTTAAGTTCATTTAAACTTGAGGATGACGATTGAAGAGAGATGATGAAGGAGAATAATAAAAGAATAAAGTGCAAAAGAAAAGAAAACCAATCAATCTCAATTTTTTCGCCTTCTATTAGTTTTCATGTTCTCTTGATAATGTTAACCCAATAGTTGATCCTATAAGGAAAGAGTATTATACGCATATTCGTAAGAATGATGAGGATGAAAAGAAAGAGGATGAGGAAGAAGAGAAGAAGAAAAGGAATGGAAAATATTCCCTTTAATTGAGAGAATGTGAAGAAAGTAATGATGATAATCATAATAAAAGAAAAGTGTATCAATCTGATTATTTTCTTTTATTTTTCTTTCTTCATCTTCTTTTCTTGCTTTTCCATCTCCATCTTCATCGTCCAGAAGATGATGAAGATGATGATGATGCTAACAAGGTATTCATACAATTATTTTTTCCTTTTACGTGTTAACCTTGCGGTTTAGATTCTATTTATTTCTTCAACAAGTAACATATTTTGAAAATGATTCTTTTACTTTTTGTTTGATTATCAAAGATGATAATACTTGTAATAATGATGATGATGATGAGGATGAAGATGAAGAGTAAGATGATGACAGATAAAATGAAAGAAACCATAGTTACATTGTACATGGACAACGGTAAACAACAATCAGTTGAGCCACTGGATTCTCAGGAATAGTGATGCGGATGAAAAAGAGAGAAAGTGATCACAAGCATCTTATAGGTTTTCTAGCAAAATGAAATCAAATTTAGAACTTTTTTTGCGAATATGATGATTGAGATGAGAATGCGAATATTAATGTTGAGAGTAAAGGAAATGGTTCATTTATCGAATTCTTTTTATCTTCAACATCATTATCATCTCTTTCTTTCTTTTTCTTTTTCTTTCTCTTTGTTTGTCTTCTTATCATTAGTCTTGTTTCTTACCTGAAGGTTACCTTCAAATTACGTAAATTGTTCACATACTCTATCAGCCAGAGAGAGAGAGAGAGAGAGAGAGATAAAGAAAGAGTTTCCGTTGAGGTTGATAAGGAGATAAAATTTTCCATTGATGAGGTAAAGATGGAAAGAGAAAAAGAGATTTTCTTTTCCTTCTTCATTTTTTCTTCTCTTTTCTGTCTTTTTTTTCAACGAGTTTTTCTCTTCATTTTCTGGTCATCTTTTACTCTCCTTTTGAGTCTGTGGTCAAAGTTTCCTGGTTTAACCTTCAAAGTGAAAGAGAAATGATGATGATTAAGGAGAAGCCTCACAATTAAGACAAGACATTCACTTTAAAGTTGCATTTAATTACCTGAATTAAATTGAATGTACTCGATCTTCAGGTTTGGATGAAGAAAAGGAGTCAATAGTTGGGAGAAAAAGATGAAATTTAACACAATTGAATCAGTTAATCATCTTATTCTTGTAAACTAATTACTTTCAGAAACAAATGATTACAACAAAACTGTTGGTCTCCTGGCTCTATGATGAAGGTTAATTGTGTCAAATTTATCTTGACAAAGGGAAGCAATTAAAGGTTAGAAAAAGTGTCACTTTGGTCAAAAAGTGAGACTTAAATGGTGATGAGGATGATGTTGATTGTTTTGTTGTTGATTAGATGTTTATTTTTACTTCATTCAACCTGTCAAATGTTAACAATTATTATTTTAACGTTCAATTGATTTTCACGCATTTGTGATTAACCTTATTTATCTCATGATTATCATTAAAATCATCACCATAGTTACTATTCACTTAGGCCTATTATCAATTTGAATGGTCATCATCACCGAAAACAACAACAATCAGATTAATGATGTTACCTTACACTTGACAGTTAACTAGGTAGTTACTCACACGCCTTAGCTCATCATAATCGTTATGATAATAATCATCATTACTTTCATAATAATTATCGATAAGCAGAAAGCAAAAGATTCAGTCATTATTTTTTCATGATTGAGTTAACATGGTCAAGTGATAATCACATTTAAACTAATTATGTTCAAGTCAATCGTCATTAATTATTGTCAATTGATGTTGATTTTCAGATTGGATGATCACATCCTAACAAGAATTTAAGTGAAAATGAATTAATTAATTGTAATCATTAATTCTTACCTTTTTTTAGCAAATTGATTTTCATGTTGATCAAAATGAGGATTAAGATGAAAATGAAAACTG